CCCCAAAACCCCAAAACCCCAAAACCCCAAAACCCCAAAACCCCATTTATAGAAGATTTTATTGAGAGTTATAAAATATTAATGAAGAAGAAAATTTTTGATTACTTAGTCATTGGAGGTGGAAGTGGAGGAATTGCCTCTGCCAATAGAGCTGCCATGTTCAACAAACAAGTTGCAGTGTTTGAAGAGAAAGAACTTGGAGGAACTTGTGTCAACGTTGGATGTGTACCAAAGAAACTCATGTATCAAGCAGTAGATCAAAAGGAATCAATGGAAATGATGGGCAAATATAAGCCACATTGGTTCGAAAATAGCAGCTGTCTCACTCCAGCTAACCTTGTGATGAGGCTCAATGCTTTTAAAGTCGATAGAGATAACTATATTAAAAGATTACACAAAATTTACAAGAGAGGACTCGACAATTCTGGAGTTGAGCATGTAAATGGTAGAGCAAAATTTTTGGACAACAACACACTTGAATGTGATGGTCAGATTTATCAAGCAGACCACATTTGTATTGCTTCTGGATCTAAGCCTTTCATCCTTGATATCCCTGGGAAAGAGCATGCAATCACTAGTGATGGCTTCTTTGATCTTGAGGAGGCACCTAAAAGGACATTAATGATCGGAGGTGGATACATAGGTAAGATTTTAGTCATCCATGAGTATGAAAACTAATATTTATAGCCACTGAACTATCACAAATCTTGGCAGGACTTGGATCAAATGTCACAGTCATAATCAGAAATTGTCTCTTGTCAACATTTGATCAGGAATTAGCGAGCTTCCAGCATGACAACTTCGAGCATTTGGGAATCACGAACATGTGTGGGGAAGCCAAGAGAATAGACAAGAATGCTGACGGCTCTTTGAAAGTCACCTTCAATGATGATACAAATGCAGAATTTGACTGTGTTATTATGGCAGTTGGAAGAAAATCTAATGTTGAAGACCTCGACCTTAACAATACAGATGTGAAGCTCAATGATAGAAGAGTTATCATCACTGACGAGTACCAGAATACTACAGCAGATGGAGTTTACGCTGTAGGAGATGTTGATGGAAGAATCGCTCTAACCCCTGTTGCCATCAGAGCTGGAAGAACGGTATCAGAGAGAATATTTAATAACAGACCAGGTCTCAAAGTTAACTATAAAAATATTCCAAGCGTGATCTTTTCACATCCTCCGATTGGATCCGTAGGTTTCTCAGAAGAAGCTGCTAAGGAGAAATATGGAAGGGACAACATTAATATCTATAAGACAGAATTTGGCCGTAAGAGGACTTAACTAATCTATAGCAATGTTCGATAGTTTTGTTCAAGGAGATGCTCTCATGAATAAGACTTTCTTTAAAATGATCACGAACAAGCTGGATGATGAGAGAGTCATCGGATTCCATGCAATAGGCAAAGGTGTAGATGAGATGATGCAAGGAGTAGGCGTAGCCATTACTGCTGGAGCCACAAAAAGACATTTTGATGAAACCATTGCCATTCACCCAACATCTTCAGAAGAGATGGTATTACTAGATTCAAAAATTTGGGGCTAAAATTTTGCTTTGTTACTAAATTCCAAATATGGGACTCCTGAATTCAATGTAAAGTAACGAAGTTGGGGTTTTGGGGTTTTGGGGTTTTGGGGTTTTGGGGTTTTGGGGTTTTGGGGTTTTGGGG